GAAGGATTTTCCTCTGAGAGGCGAAAAAAACACTCTAAACGTAGATCTTGGGGGGGGGGGGCCAGCATATATATATATATACTTCTTTTGTCTGCAATGTTCTGCTAAAAGACTTGTCACTGTCATGATTTGACAGTAGACTATCATGTAGATTTCCACCTTCATCTCGTACTTGCTCCAGTTCCTTGCTAGGGTCGCCTTGCTTGAGTTCTGGGTTCATGGGCCTAAGGTAGGAGTCACTAGGGGGCTGGGCTTGGCGGGGAGGCAACCACTTGGCAGCATCATGCTCCGAGCTGCACGCCTCTGCGGGGAAGTCGGCATGTGGCACTCGGTATGGGGCAGAAGGCTCTGCGCAAACCACCTCTGCCATGGCATCGTCTTTATCGCTAACCTGGCACATGGGCTTGCATGAAGCTATGCACTCAGATTGGCTCCATGGATCTACACATACACGGCTTCAGGGCCTGCTTCAAGCTCAAACTCCTACAGCCCACCTTCACCAGAACGAAGGCACTTTTGATATGTCGGTCATGCTCCTTGTTTCATGCCGAGCTGTCTGCCAGAGTGCTTTCAATCTTCATCCTACACCTTCTCCACTCGCATGTTCCCACGGTAGCTCCTCCTCAGGCAAATCCGAGAGTAGCGTAACCAGCTCACCTCGCCTTCAGCGTGGCAAGGCCGCAACTGCTTCTCCCCCCAAAAAAACACCCTCTCTGCTCAGAACCGCTCCCAAGTTCCACAATGTTGGTACTTGTAATTTTCAGGATAGAGCCCTAGATATACCAAGGTTCCATGTCGTGTTCCATGTTCTTTTCCATTTGATGCTCCGCTATTGGGATGAAAAATCCCCAAATAATCCCAAAGTACAATTCTATATGTAAAGCTTCCATTCCATTTTTCATGTTCCATTTGATTCTCCAATAAAATGCAAAGGTCCTTTTGCCTCGACATCAGCCGAACCATTGGCAATTGCGACAGTCGCAGCTAAGTCAGCCACTCAGCGAGAAAAACTGTCTGACTTCGTTGACAGATGGCCAGGTCCGAAAACTGGGGTGTCCCTTGTATTTCTATAGTATCTTGCATGTTGCAAGACTGTAACAAGGGACCCCAGCTGGTGAGACAATGCGAGGTCTTGTCAACTGTCAGCGGCTTAGACTCCTGAAGTCAGGCTTGCGCGGACGACGAAAGAAAAGGAACCAGGACTGAATCAAAAGGAGCAGCACAGCAATTGAAAAGCCTGATAGACTCCACAGGCAGGACGTTGTGACTGCCACTGTCAGCAGTGCTTCAACAATCCCAAGGCAGGTAAATACGAATATGTGTACCAGGACCGCACACAGAAGTCCCATTATTGTCTGCACTGCCTTCGTCTTGGCATACGGTATGATGAGCTTCAGCGCTCGTAAGAGCAGTGGATGGACGGTTGGAATGCATAACACCTGCGCCACCACCCAGGAAATGGTGTTCGTCATCATGTACTGCTCCACTGAGCCGTAGCCTTGCCTTGCAGCAGACCTTGTGCACTCATCTCCATCGCAGCCAAGAATGCTCGCAAGCGACAGGAAGATGAGAGGGAGGAACGTGATCATGCACAAACTCAGGGACACATCAATCTCTGAGCCGATGTTCTCCAGGAGGCTATCACGCAAAGGCCCACGGACGTATGAATGATAAACGTCAAAGACCTCCTCGTGGCTTGGGTAACTTGTCAAAGGACGGATTTCGTTCAAGGTTTCCCGATCAATGACCGGAACGAGCGGATAGCTTAAGTTTGAAGCAGAGGACTCATCAATCGCCTCAATGGCAACATGCAGTGGCGGCTCCAGTGCCTCATCGAAAAGATCCAGCACCTGCTCCTCAATAGCTGCGCGGTCACTTTCTAAGGAGCACCTGGCACTCCGTAGGTCATATTCGGCCATCTGTTTGAGCATCTGCCGGTGCAGCTGAATCTTCTGCAGATTACAGAGGATGATCGGCACAGTCAAGAGGAGATAGCTCCCAAGCGGGCAAAACCAAGTTACAAAAGTTGTGAGGAAAATCGTGCTCCTTGAGTTAGGACCGTACTGCGCCTCAACATGCCGGCTTAGCATGGTGGCAAGGTCCTCTGCAGAAGGGATGCAGATTACACCGAAGAGGTCGATTAATAAAGCAGAGAGTGTCCATACTGGGAGCCACATCGGGACAAAGGTGATAGCGCTGGGATCGTTGGAGCTCTTGGAAAAAATTGCCATTTCATAGCTGCACCAGAGTCTCTCCTTGACTGCTCCAGAGCCCTAGAAAGCCTAAAGCGCAAAGAGGGGCCCAAAGGCAGGTGCGCAGGAAGGTTTAAGGGTCTAGTAACGTGTACAGCTTTTGACCCTCCTAATGACCTTACACGCCAAAGAAACTCACAAGGGCTTTTGAATGACAGACCAGGTTCAAAATAGGACTCGTCCCACAGCACAAGCAGCTTCCGTGAGTTGATGACAAAGTGCGGCAGGGAGTCTATTGCTTGGTTTTTCATCTGGAGGTCTGTCTGATGTACGCATAGCTTGTCAAACCAGTACTTCTGCGAGTGCCATCTGTGACCGAGAAAGTAAACAAGGAAGAACACAAGCATCGGCCAGTAGACGAGCATCAAGACAAGCTCAAGCAGGCCCAGAGCCCCCGAGGCAGTGGCAACACTGGAAATACCCCCAGCCTGAACCACAAGAACAAGACCGGTGCAGATCCATGTCATGCACGCGGCTTTCACCGCTGTACTCAAGTTCAGGTAGTGACACATTGCCAAAAACTTCAGCCCTGGACTTGTGCTCCAGGCATGGCTCACGAATACGTCCACACCAGTGACAACAGGCAGATCCGAGAAACATGTCTGGATCGCGTTTGAGTTTTCTGCGGCATCATGACCCAAACCCAGCTGTTGTTGCAACAGCTCCCAGGACAGCGACCAAGCGGAGGTGGCTTTGAACAAGCCGGGATCACTGCATCGGAAGCTTCTCATCCTCCTTCCATTGGCAAATACAAATGGACAGCCTCAATTAACGCTTGGTTGGATGTCAATGCTTGAGCTTGTAGTTGTTGGTCAACTTTTCCAAAGCAGCTTTATTAGCAGCTGGAGCCAAGCAGGGTGACAACAATTGAACAGATGTGGAAACCTGAAAGATCGGATGTCCAGTCCCTTTCTGCAAAACAGCCTCAGCACCAGCCAGGAACAAGGGGCCCTTGCTTCAGCTGCCCCAATCGGATGGTCTTCAGGTGGCGCTGATTCTTTGCAGCCTCAGGGCACCCGAAATTCGGCTCATTTGGGGTGTAGTTAATGCAAAATTCGGAAGCCTCATCCTCCTTCTTTGGCTCAGCCTCGTCATCCCCAGCAGCCTCAAGAACACTTCAATGAGCCTACCTGGAATCCTTTCACTGAAAGCAGCTGAGGCAGGATTATAGGCCCTTCGGACGACCATCAACAATTCCTAAACGTTTGAGGCTCGGGCAGGCATCTCGCTCTCCTCATCTGAGGAGCTCTCCTTGGTGACCCAGACGTGGACAGCGACCCACAGACCCACAGTCAGCGCGATTGCAGCCGTGTGGCAGAACTAACAGAGCTGGAGGACGAAGTGTCACTCTCATCGTCGCTAGAAGAAGAATCCGATGCCTTGCAAGGTTCAGTTTGGGCCCAGTTCTCCCGGCTTCCTCTCAGCTATGCCTCATCCCCTGGCGCATCCGCATTTTCTCCTGCCTGAGCTGCAGCAGCAGACGCCTACTGTACCTCTACCTTTGCACAGCAACCTTTTGGCATCCAAGGCACTGGGGTTGGCTCAGCATCGCCTTGCTCTTCAGCCTGAAGACTTGATCCGTAGCTTGCTTAAAACACTCAGATGAAAGATCATCGCTTCGCTACCTAGGGCACAGCTTCACAAACTTTGCCTTCTGCCGCTTAGCGAGCGGCTCCTGCGAACCACTGTTAGCAAGGAGATTTTGTGAGGATGCAAGTTCCAGACGGAGCCAGCCTGCCCGGCTGCCTCATCAGCCTCCTGGAGGGAACGTAATGAAGTCAGGATACGATCTCGAAATCAAACTACCTGCTTCCCCCATGTTCCCACAACCCTGTACAGGACCCTCACAAAGGACCCTCAGAGTCTGTCAATGCCCCGACCTCGGCTGGCCGCCTTCGCGAGTCCGCCATGGAGCCAACACTGAGACACAGAGCCCGTGGCAGCCGGGCGCCACAAGAGCAAAGCCAAATAATGAGTAAGACACTGAGAAAAGTATAAGAATAAAAGCAATTTCATCAAAATGGCGCCTCATTCCTCTTAATGGAACCCCTTCACCTGGAAATCCCAGCTCACTTGGTGACGTGTTTGCAGCCAAGAACAGAGCCAGCTGTCGTGCATAAGTTTGGAAGCAACGTCAAGCACTGGAAAATGTCCCACAGCTCAACTTCCGAACGGGTGGCCTGCGACTGCACTCTAGTAAGTGCAGCACCGCTAAGAGCTTCTTCGCCATACTCTATGGAAACCTGCCAGGATGTCCTTCCCAGCTACATTGAGTAATACTTTTGTGGTAGAGGAACCAAATTGCATCGGGCTTGGAAGCAGAAAAGGCCGTATTCTGCAGCGAGCTTGAGGCTTCCATGAGACACTCAGCGCACCTCTTCCCGTCCGTTGGCTAGTACCTGGTACCCAAGCACAAGTCCGAAGGCCGAAGCGCACATTGGCCACGAAGCGTACAGCATCAAGGCACAAGCCCATACAATGTTTTGTAGTGGTGCTAGTGCTGCCAAAAATAGGTCTATTCAAAGGCACACTCGAAAGCAGGAGTTACTTGTTTTGTGCCTGCTGCGCTTTCTGTACCTCGTCTGTCGAGTGAAAATTGAAAGCCGCGCAGGCACAAATCTGAGCTACTTCGTTCGTTCTAGAGCATCCCTGGGACGTGAGGAACTTCTAGGCGTGAGTCTCCCAAGCAGCCAGTTAGCTGCGTGAGGCTCGGACGCGCGATCCGCTTGAACATGCCTGGCGTCCTCTTCTCCGTCTCGCGGAAGCTGCGATTCTGTGGCTGGACTGTCCCTCCGGCCGACTCAAGATGCACATAAACTCCAAAGATCAAAGCTCGGCTCTTCTGCCTGCAGAGCATGCAGAATCTAGCACACTTGCATGGCTTGAGAATGAGCTGAGCAAAATTCACGCCCCCAGATAGATTGAGGCCAAGCTTGAGGGGCAGTTCGCCAAGAGGAACGAAAGCTAGCAGCTGCACTCGACACTCGTACATCACAGCCATGGAACTCACGACAGGACAACTATTGAGGAAGAAGCTGATAATGATGACAGCAACACGAGAGTTTTCATGACCATGGTGATCATGATGATGATGATGATGATGATGATGATGGTCATGATGATGGTCATGATGATGGTGACCCTAGGATGAGAATGAAGGTTTTCTTGCTGCTGCTGATGTAAACAAAGGATGTAGTAAAGGCCATGATGGTGGTGATGATGATGATGATGCTGATAACGATAAAGGCGATGATGATCAACATCTGCAGACCCATGTCATGATTCTGCCCAAGATGCTGCTGATGATGAGAACTGCAATGATAATCATACCAATAGGGAGGCGGAGGAGGACAAGGACGAAAATCCTGTAGAGCACTCAACTGTCACCATATCTCAATCAAGTCCTGCGTGTTCCAAGCTGGCCCAGCCCCTTCCCCAACCTGGAATAGAACCAAGAACTATGCATTTCACACACTTTCAGACTTGATCCACCATCTCCTGCTAAAACGAAACTGATCTCAGCCACGCTTGCACCAGCTGGCGCAGGATCCATCTAACGCAGTGAGCATGTGCTTTCTGGCCTTCTAAATTGCGAAGCAAGGCAATCCTGTTGTCGAGCCATGTGCGCCTCATAGGGAGGCAAGCGTAAGGGTACTAGAAGTGAAAATCGGCCCCACGCCTTTCTGGAGAGGCCTCACCAGATGCCAGCCGCATCAGCCTCGGCAAGGCTTCTGCCGTCGGACAACATTGCCCAAAGGCACCGAACCGAACATCACCGGCGTCACATCAGCATAAACACACAAAACGAGAACTTGAACTGACGGCTGCCATCACCAGCGTGGACATAACAAATTAAGGCCCCCCACATCTTAAAGAAAAACTATGACCTAGCATGAGGATCAACGCAAAGCAGGAATAAAGCCCTCCCTCCCTTCTTCCTGGATTCTGCTCTGAGGTGGCTACCGAGCCAGCTCGCGCTGGCGCGTCGGGAGACCACGGCTTCGCCTGAGGAAGCAATGCTCACATAGCTTGCATACCCCTGGAGCCAACTGACACTGTGCTGACTGTGACATAACCAGCACTTACCGAACTTGCAAACATCACGGCCGAGTGAAGCTTCGACATGAAAGCCGTCAGGATGCAAATCTCTTCCAAGCAGCATCCTGTCTATGTAGGCCTGCTGGCGGGCATCGCAATCCTGTCGACGCTTCTTGCCACTTCTTATAGGCTTTGGATTACGGCCAAGTGTGGCGTCCTGCTTGGTTGTCGGGTCGCACCTTGGAAGGACATGCCGAAAGACAACAGTACAAAGGCAGACAGCCCGAGGGCTGAAAGCAGTACGTTTCACAGCAAGCTTTCGCATGCCGTATGACTGACCAAGTCAGTGGTCACAATGAAAAAAAAACGAGGGCGCCTCAAAGTAACACTTTGAGCAAAGCGCTGAAGCGATTCGAAATCTCGGGCCTCAGCACACACAGGCTTACAAGCCAACGGTGATGAAATCCGCTGGCAGGATGGAATATGTCGTTCGTCACGGCTATGCGATGTGTTCAATGGAAGCTCGATCAGTACTTGAACATTTGCCAAGTGTCCACTTTGCTGCATGGCATCAGCTTGCAAAAGCAGACTAGTTGTTGTCATGTCACATTAGGATTCTGGATATCTGTTGCATTCTCTGACAATCTGTCGCTCACGCGCAGCTCACTGGAAGTTGTCCAGCTGTGACCAAGCAGAACACATTCTGCTCTAGCCCTTTCTATCAAGCTTAAGCTTCCACTGCGGTCGCATGTCTTGATGATATTTGACATTGGGCTTGTAAGAAATTCGCCGCAACGCAATCTCGCGCAGTCTGCTGCAGTGGCAGTCATGAAAGAATAATGAACGTGTGCACAAGGCAGTGAAACAGTACATCAATCAATGGAGGAATGAAGAAACAAATAAACCAATGAAACGAAGGGACAAATGATTGAGCAAACAGACAATGCATGTCCTGTAGATCCTTCAGGTATCACCTACTGGTAGCATGCAGCTACTCCATCAACCTGTCGAGAAGGTGAGCATGTTTGATTGGCAGCCTCTGTCAAGCTGCTGGCAGAACACGCAATGGCAGCAAAAGCAATAGGGCAGCCATCGTACTTTCGTCCATGTGTCCTGAGAAAAACAAGAACCCAAAGAGTGACGAAGCCCTGGGTACTCAACGCGCTACGTTTGAAAGCCAACTTGGGCACACCAGAGGCAGGTCAGAAGCAAGCCAACATGATGCGACTCCTATCAAATTGCAGCCTTGCCATTTGCTACACCAACGCTTAGCCGACGGCATCCGCATAAGTGCGGCCAGCAGGGCCTAGTGCCAAAGCAGCCCCAATAGCAAGGCAAAGCCTTCGTTGACTAGTGACCTCGTATGGCCTGTTTTGGAGTTGAAGTACTTCAGCGTCGGGTAGGACTCGACTGCCTGATCGTGACACAGCTCCTGCCAAAACTGGCCCCAAGCACAGCATGCCTCTGCACAAGGGTCAAAACAAATCAAGGCCGGACATACTCTTCCAAAGCCTGACCTCGCCATGAATATCTTGCCCATGCTCGTCCGAAACTCTGAATTCTCCCTTCCTTAATGGCACGATCTTACTAGACCCCCTTAAGGCCAATCCAAAACTTTGCTCCATGTGTGCCTGTCCTCATTCTGTGGTAATGTACAGTCCACATCAGCAATGAGCACATCCCCTGCAAGGGACAAAGGGCCATGTTGCGAGCCACTCTTCTCCATTTCAAAGACTATCAATGTCGGGCCATATCAGAAACAATTTCGCATAAAGACCCTAGAAAATCCTTGGGCCGGCTGCAAAGTCCGTCCAGCCTGAGGTTTTGTATGCCGCAGCTAGCTGTTGCCACGATGCCTGCATGGCCTGGCATCTGAAAGGCCCTTCTCGAAAACTATGCCAATGTCTTCTCCATGCTGACATTCTGCCTGGCTGTGTCCACACCATGGGGCGTAGAAGCGAACGAATGCGTTGCGGCCGCCTAGCAAGGCCTCTGGGTCAGGCCGGAAACGCTTGCAGCCACTTCATGCAAGACCACTCATTCATGAATATTCAAGCCCTTGGCCGCCTCTGACACCACGTCTGCCCGTGTAGCCACAGCCGCCAGCATAGGCAGGGACCATCGCAACATGCAGACAAGCTGACGTGATGGGATGGCAACATCTGGTAACAGCACATATGTAGGTGTGTGAGTGTATGCACGCGATTGCGTCAGTGTGTAATGGCTCCTAAAATTGGGCCCACGTCCCAACTGTCCGGCTCTGCTCGGGCTACGTTGCACCGTAGACAAAGCCACACGGCAGGTTAAATGATTTGGATGCAATCCAACGTTCAGTCACTATGAAGGCAAGTTGGCAAGAGCAATCACGGGATGATAGCAGGGCCTCGACCTCACAGACACCGCCGGAAGGCAGTGTGGAGGAAGCCTGCAGCCAAAACAATGGCAGAAGCTTGAAAGCCCGCCAAGGGTGTACACGTTCACTCTGAAAAAAGCTCCAGGCAGCAACACATGGCAAACTCTTTGCCCGGCCTTGTCTTCCCAAACAGCAGTGCTTTGCTGCGCTTGGGCCTCACGTTGTAGTTGCAAAAGTCAAAGTGCTTTTGGTCTGAGGCTACACTCGCAGCTACGGTGAAAGCATGTTTCATCGATGGCCAGGACTTCCGCAGGTAGCACACTTGAATGGTTGTTTTGATCCCTGCCATGGCAAAGTCTCCTCAGAATCAATATCTTCCTCTACGAGGAAGATTTCGCATAATTGGGCTGTCTCTGCGACAGCAGTGCCGGGTGAACATAACAATTAAGCCATTAAGCATCCGGCAAGACACAGCCAACGCTGCGCTTTGCCAGGTGGCACACCACCCCATTTTAAAGAGGGGCTTCCACGAAAGCCGCTGCTCACTGCGGTGTGGCATCCTTGCGATTGGAGCCTGCCTGGATCCAGCACAAAGGGAATGATAATGATACTGTGCAGGCTTTGGGAACTTGCTGCACTGATCTGCACTGCCTTCTGCCACCAACGCCCCACCACCTTCGCCATCCGCTCACCCACTGCAGCAAGCTGCGGGGGCACGTTCTGCTCGATCATGCCTGTAAGCAACGCCATATCCTTTACACCTTTCATGCCAGTGGCAGATATACCTTGAGCATAATAAAAAAAAAACTTCAGTTTCCATCTGCTTCCCCTCTGCTTCTCTGCAGATGAGGCACTCTTTAGCCACGTGGACTGAAGCCACTCGATGCCACAAGTCCTTCAAGTTTCGGACTTTGACTTTGACTTGAGACTTTGATGCCACGAAGCGTCTTTTCGGAGTGGTTTTGCGACAAATCACCCAACACCCGTGGACTCCTGAGCACCTGACTTCTGACCCCCGCAGCTCCAAGAGCAAAACCAATGGACTTCAAATCCAAAAGCCACAGATCTGGCCGGAGCCGTAAGCCCGGAATTGCACCATAAGTATGCCCGACTACACCACAGGCCATGCGAACTCTAGATCCAAGCCCAACATAAAAGTCCTTCAAACTTGATGACAAACCACAAACACTCAGAGGACCTAAATCCTGAGAAGTCCAGCAGGACCCGCCGGCTTTCAGCTCTAGAACCCTGAACCCCAACCTGCGAACTGAACCGTTCTCTCTCGAAGTTGCGGACCGGTGGACAATGAATAGCTGGAGTTCCAAGTCGCACAGGCCCACCCTCTTGAATGCCAACAAACAAAAGCAGGGTCAACATGCCCTTTCAGTCCAAGACGCCTGACCATCTTCAGCTTGCCATCTTCCACGCTGAATGTGTCGCAAGCTATGACATTGAAGTTGGTACCTTAGCTTTCATAAGAACTGTCCTAGACCTGATGCCACGTTCTAAACGCTGTAGGATACAATCATGACATGCAAGTGCCTAAGACCCAGTCAAAGCATTGGCATTGCGTCCTTGCACTGGTGAGGCCAGGGAGCGGCTCAAGGTAGAAACATTCCGCAACATTTGTATTGGATTGAACTTTCAAAGGCCGATCGCTGCCGACGCTTTTGTCAAGATGTGCGCGCAAGCGATCGCATTCAAATTTTGCGTTCTGAGGTGAGGCGCTTGATCCTAGTTTGATCTGTTTGATTTCAGACAGCCCGTCTGCAAGCACTGCCAAGCACTCCCGAGCTTGCAGACAATGGCAGAACATACGTTACAAAGACCGACTTCTCGGAAAGCAGTCCTCGCGACGATCATGGCCTATAGGTCCTCGGTTGGTGGGTTTCAATTGATGTGAGACGTCCGACCCTGCCGCCGTGGTTAGTGCAATACGTAGCTTTTGAGGGGCCCTGACCCCACATCATTTGTTTCTCAAGCAAACCGTTATGGTCCCATGAACGCTGTTGCAAATCTGCATGTGTTTTGAAGCTAAACCCCACCACACAAGTGTGAAGGGTTTGGATCCTCTGTAGGACCTTAGAACAATCAGAGTCAAACAGAAGTCATATGAGGGTTTTGCGAAAGTTTTGTGTTGCTTCTACACCATTTTTACGATGGTTTACGAAGGTATACAAAGGTCTTATGAGAGCATTAACATTTGTTAAATTTGTTCGATGCGTCTCAGTGGAATTACATTCACACACCGTGATGCAGATGAAGCTTAAAACCTCCCTGAGCCCCCACTAAGCCCCCCATAAGCCCCCCAGGCCCCCTATAAGCCCTATACGCCCTCTAAGCCCTCTAAGCCCTCTAAGCCCTCTATAAGCCCTCTATAAGCCCTATAAGCCCCGTATGTGCCCGTAATAAGCCCTCTATAAGCCTTCTTACGAGCTCCCTATAAGTCCACTATAAGCCCCCTATAAACCCCTATAAACCCCATATATGCTCCCTATAAGCCCCCAAAAAACCCCATATATGCTCCATACAGCCCCCCGAAACCCCTGAAAGCCCCCCAAGCCTCCCATATAAACCCCCCACCCAGATCCCCCTTCCCAAACCCCCCCCCTCTGCCCAGATCCAAAGCCCAACCTTACCGAACTGGAACGTAACACCTGCAGCTGACACTCAGATCTTAGATATTGCAGTACATCGGTGCATCGGTGCGAGTCTCCTTTTACGGCCGGGAAGGTCCACTCCTGGCCCCGGACCACCCGGTACCACCCCCATTTTCTGCGCTGCTTATGGGCTCGGGCGCCCCCCCAAACAAATAATACATACTTCAATTTAGTAATTTACGACCTCCGAAAATTCAGACTTTCGATCTCAGCGAGAAAAACCATTGAAAAACATTGTTTTCGAGACACTACAGCGAGATAGCGGAAACCCCCGCCCAGACAAGAGTATGAAAAAAAAATCCACTGGTTCTGTGGGCTTGCACTGCTCCTAGGTTCAAAGCTAGCCACTAAAAACAGCAGCAGCGGTTCGCACCTTTTCTCTTGGGTTGCTCTGAGTGTGTAGCAAGAAGGAGGGCTTGAAAAGGGCTGCGGGCTCAAGCCCGGGCGCCCTTCCTTTCCACCCCCTGTGAAAAGTACCAGAAAAAAATCTGGGCTGAACGAAGTGTCCAAGCTCTGTGAAACTTAGAAGAAGAACCACACTCAGTGTTTGTGTGGGCTAACCTGAGTAGGCTAGGCTTTGAAGTTTGTGCTGGACCGTCGTCCTGAGCTCCCTGCCTTGGCGGGGGCTTGGGACAGTAGCAGGCGAGCTACTCTATCTTGAGGAGGCTGAAGCGACAGCCGGACCTTGAGTCCTGGCGACTGGAAGGCTACAAGGCTTGGTGAGACTTCACGAAGGCTGAGGCCGGCTCACAGCGCTATCTGGACCTGGGCCGCAGGGCTTAGGGCTTGTCTGTACACCAGTAGGGTTTGGGAGGGCGGGCTAAAGGAAGGAAGGAAGGAATCGACCTGCCGGGGGCTCCCGCGGCCTCCCACCCTTCCCCACCCAGCATTTGGGGGGGTCTCCGTACACGTCATCGACCCCCTCCGCGGGAGGTTCCAGGGGGGGTGTAGCTTAAGGCTAATTTTAAAAACAGCGACAAGTGCACGCCCAAATATAGGTTTGTAGGGGTACGAAAGGGGGTTTGGGCCAGAAGAGGGGCGGTAGGGGCCGGAGGCCCGGAGTGGAGTCATCTACACGAGGTTGCAGGGCAAAAGCTGCGCACGTTCTTTTTAAACCGGGAGCGGCACGAGGGCATCCTGGTCAAAGACGGCTCGGCCCTCTGAGCAGAGGGCGCGAGCAGCACGGAGCAGAAGGTGCTGTGGATTGGCAGAGCCGGGAACACCTCTTGCAGTTAGCTCCCTTTCCAGGGCTGCGAGTAGCACCGTTCTGCCGGCGGATGGATGCCAGCAGCCACCGGCGAACATGCTTCAGGCGCAGCGACGGTGCCATCGAGGCATGCTGTCCTGCGCCGACCTGGCACTGCTCGGCTGTCTGCAGAAGGTGCGTGAGCAGACCTTGATCCACAGGAACTGTTCGGCGCCGAGGGCAAGCCGCAATGCTGCGGGCCCAGTGCAACCAGCAATCGGGGCAGGCCATGTGCGCTCCGCAGTTCCAGCGGCACTGTCTGCGGTAGTGGAGGGTGTGGGAGAGGCAGGCGATGTGGGCAATGGGCTGGGAAAGCCCGGCCTGTGCGTTGAGGGAAACCTGCATGTCGGAGAAGAGGCCTTGATGGAGGCGCCTGACGCAGTCCGGGATGCCTCGGCTTTGCTGGACAGCATCGATCATTGAAGAATTTCTCGTAATCTGCAGGGATGCGGAGAAAGGGGAGGCCGCTACGGCGGGCATCTTCACAGACAAGGCAGTCAAGATACAGGACCTCGGCGGTGGCGGCGACCCCCTTGGAGTAGGCACGGTGAAGGTGGCTGAAAGGGGAGTCAGGTAACGACTCCTCAAGCATTGACAGCCTGGACATACGAATCGAACAAAT